TCTCGAGGCAAGTCGTCGTCGGATATTTTCAGCATATTCACCAGCGCATATGAGGCTCACGCGCCGCCTCTTCGTCGAGGCGCTACGACGGCGCGTGTGGGCCACTTCCAGCTCCGTTCGTCGGTCGTTTTTCTGCCGTCGATTCATATCATCGTTGGCTACATTCTGGTTTGATTTGTTTTGATATCTGTGACCTTTTTAATTCCTGCATGTATTGATATTTCGACTAACTCGTGATCCGGTGTGTACTTTGATTTCATCTGTTTCATGATAAACAAATCAAATAAGGTTGATCTGTTTATGAATCGTTTGGATATGCATTTTTCTATTAGTGTTGTCTTATCAGGAAATAACTATAGTCTTTGGGCACAATCTTATTTGTTTATGGTTGCTCTGAGAACCACTCATTACTCTGTAGTTTTCCACATCCTTTCTTACGTGTAGGACACTCTAATGCATGGTTTACACTTCCCGAAATCGTTCTTCCTTGACACTTAGCAACTACTCTGATGCAGATTGGGCTGGTGATCCTAGTGATCATCGCTCCACTAATGGGTACTGCTTTTTTTTGGGTGACTCAGCTCACTCGTCTCTTGACATAGTAAGAAGCAAATATTGGTTTCCAGATCGAATGCTGAGTTTGATTATTGTTCTCTAGCTGATTCTGTGGTTGCGTCGACTACTTGATGACCTCGGTGTGCCTCAGTCGACGTCTATTTCTCTACATTGTGATGGTTAGAGTGCTATAACTATATCATTCATGAGTGCACCAAGAATATTGAGATTGACTATCACTTCCTTCAACAACATGTTGCACATGGAACTGTGCAACTTGTTTCAGTCTCCTCTACGAATCAAACATCAGATGCCTTCATGTAGTCTCTCCCTTGCGGCCGCTTTTGTTTACTTCTTAGCTAACTCAAGTTGATCTCTACTATACTACCTTGAGTTTGAGAGGGGTAGGGGTTTGTTAGTTATATAAAGTGTATTGTTGTATTGTAGGCTATGTTTAGGCCTAACGTAAGGTTAAAACTCGTCTATGTATTTATATATAATATACTTGTCTTTGTAAATAATACATCAGATAATTTTTTTCACATTCTTACAACTTGATATGGGATATTATCTACTAGACCGGTTCGCCGGGTCAATCGAATGAATTTGGTCATCGGTCTGGTCGAGTCGGACTCTCGTAACAAAGGTAAGGAGCAGAAGATAAAAAGAGCAGATTCGGCAGCATCGGACGATTACCTTTTCCACCAGGCTCTGGTCGAGGAAAGAGATGGTCGAATGTTCATGTGTGATTTTACACCATATTTATATAGTATCTAGAGCTTATTCATTGCATTACTAGTGTATAAATTGCATTATTGTGCTTTAATTTTATATCTTGTTGGAAAGGTATTACGCGTGCTTGTTTTGTAGATATTTTCCACATATTTGTAGAGTGTTTGGCTATTGGAGGCGCATGGTGGATACCTAGGAACCCCGGGATGATGAAAGATTGATGTACGAATGAAAAGAATGGAAGAAACGAGTGAAATGAGCGAAAATTAGAGTGCATATTTGTGACACGGGCACCATGCCCGTGTCAGAGGCCGTGTCACCTCAACAGAAAGAATTCGAAGCTCAGGGACCTGACACGGGCAGTGACACGGACGGCGACACGGGTAGAATGGTCGTGTCGCGTGCGCAGGCAGATTTTTAAAGCTTGTCTTTTTGGATAAGGAGAAGGGTTTTGGACATATAAAAAGGAAATATTACCTTATTTTGAAGGGGAGAACGTGAATACGCAAGGAGGGAAGCCCTAGAACACACAAGAGAAGCAATTGGGGAGCAAAAAAAAGATCAACTACGAAGGAATCAAGAAGATTGAAAGATCGACAAAATTCCTGGTTTTTATTTCTTTTTTCCTTTTGAACTTTTATTGATCATGTCGATTTCTAATATGTCTATGTATTTGAATTCGAACATGAGTGGCTAGATTTATTGATTCTAAGACTTGGTAGTAGATTAATATGTTGCGATTTGGATTATTTATTTATAATTAAGTGTTTTTCTTTTGAACCCTATTCAAGTATTTTGTTCTTATTCATGTTTAGAACTTGATCAATTCTTTTACATGTTTGACAATATTGTTCATAATTTAAGAGATGAGTTCAATATTAGGCCTTTAATATTTGACATAATTTACTTGCTTGAATCGAGAGATTAGTAGGTAATTGTGAGGATTTTAGATCTTTTAATCTATTTGGAGTTGAATTGCATGTGTTGAGTGGAGACGCTAATATATGTGATTTAATCCACAGTTTTGTCAATCTCGAGAGGGATGATATGCTAAATTTGTGATCGTCTTATAGGGTAGATAAAGAAAGCATTTAGTTGTGATATTTCTGAAGATTCCTAACTATTAATTGAACTCACAGTCTTAGAATCCATCATTCTCATACGTTTGTCTTACGTGTTCTTTAGTTTATTCATTGTTCTTACTTTATTTGCTTTGATTTATTTTCTTAGTTTAGTTAATCCATCTCATATTCGATCGTCTAAATAAAGTTGACACTATCATCATCTAGTACTTGATATATTAATTATTTGGTCTCTTGGGATACGACCTTGCTTGCCACATACTACGAGCAAAGCCGTACACTTGCGGTCGAGCTTTAAAAATATAGGCAAACAAGTTTTTGGCGCCATTGTCGGGGACTAATATAATTATTTATATCAATATTATGATAGATAGTGTTGGTTTTAATTTAGACATTTTTTGTATTTTTTGCTAACATTTTTTTTTTATTTTTTTTATGATGGATGAGGATGCGGCAGACTATGACTGGCGCAATGATCCCAAATACTCGGAAGAAGATAAACAGTGGTATGAGGAGTGTTTGATCTATCAGTTGGAAGAGCTTACAAGGTTGAGTTTGAGTCGAAGCGTCGTAGGAGAGAATTCGAGGAAAGAGGCATTGGGTGTGATGAATGTGGTTTGATGTTGTCACACACATCGGGGAATTGTCCTTTCTCAAGTTTACCTCCTATATCGCAAGAAGAGCTCGATTACATTCCTCCATGCTTTTTGCCATTAGACAGTGCGCCAGAAATTTCTATCGTTGCTGAAGAACATGAAGAAGAGAAGGATGCCATATTTGAAGTTAAATCCCCAAAAGTCATTCTTACTGAAGGGATGATTCAAGAGAAGTTCTCCAACTCTAAATGTTTAAAAGTTGAATTTATTATTCCATATGATGATGAGGTTGAAGTCTTCGTCATTCAGTTTGAGAGACATTGTGATGCTAAACTTGGTGAACATGAAAAGAACACG